TGGGAGAAGATATTTGCAAAGGATACATATGATAAAGAATTCATATAACTCAACACCAAATAAATCCACAAATAATCCATTTAAAATGGGCAGAGTTATTGAATAGACATTTTCCCAAAGAAGACATACAGATGGCCAACAGACATGTGAAAAGATGCTCATATCACTAATCATCAGGGAAAAACTGCAAATCAAAACCATGATAACATATCACCTAACACCAGTCAGAATGGCCAGTATCAAGAACATAAAAAATATGAAGTGTTGGTAAGGATGTGGAATAAAGAGAACCCTTGTGCACTGTTGGCAGGAATGTGAGCTAGTACAGCCACTAGAGAACAGTTGGAAGTTTCCTCAAAAACCTAAAACTAGAACTACCATCCAATCCAATAATTCCACTTCTGGGTATTTACTCAAGGAAAACAAAAACACTAATTGGAAAGGATATATGAATACTTATATTTACTGCAGCATTATTTATAAGAGCCAAGATATAGTAGCAACCCAAGTATAAATTCACAGATGAATGGTTAAAGAAGATGTGATATACATACACAGTGGAATATTACTCAGCTATAAAAAGAAATGAAATCTTACCATTTGGCACAACATGGATGGGTATCATGCTAAATTAAATAAGTCAAAGACATACAAATATCCTAAGATTTCATTTATATGTGAAATCTAAAAATAAAACAAGCAACAGTATCAACAACAATAACACAAAGGAGAAACAAACTCATATACAAAGAGGACAAACCAGTGGTTGCTGGAAGGGAGGGGGGTGGGATATGGGTGAAACAGGGTGAAGGGGATTAAGAGGTACAATCTCCCAGTTATAAAATAAATAAGTCATAGAGATGGAAAGTATAGCAGAGGAAATATAGTTAATAACATTATAACTTTGGTGACAGATAGAAATTACACTTTTCATGGTGAGCATATTATAATGTATATGACTTTCACTTCTAAAAATTTTTTTAAAGATTTTATATATTTATTTGGGAGAGCGAAAGAGCACAAGCAGGGGAGGAGCAAAGGGAGAGGAACAAGCAGACTCGTGCTGAGTGTGGAGCCCAACGAGAGACTTGATCTTACAACCCTGAGACCATGACCTGAGCCAAAATCAAGAGTCAGTTGCTTAACCAACTGGGTCACCCAGGCACCCCATGTATGATTGTGAAATCACTATGTTGTACACCTGAAACTAAATTTTAAATTAAAATTTTTTAAAATATTAACTTCAGAAAATGTGTTCAGGAAATTGCATGCATGTAAAACCTTCAAAGAGACAGGTAGAAAATATATTTCTAATAATGTTACTTGTATCAATAAATAAGTAGAGTTTATCTTTTCATTGTATACATGTTGTTGTTATGCATTGTCTTACTGAATAATTTATAAGGCACGTACACAAAAGCTGTTTCTAAAAATGCTATTTCTGTATATAAGAACAGTATTATTTCAGTTGATAATTGTGTTCCCCACGTTGCAGTGCAAACTCTCTTTAAAGGCAAGTAAATAAATACATAAATAAATGTATGTATGCAACCGTAATTTCAAAGTTAGAAAATCGAGTGATGTGCATTATTGTTTACTTTTTTTTATAAAATTTGATCTTATACAAAGTGCTTTTTATTTTTAATTTTTTAAAAGATTTTATTTATTCATGAGAGATACAGAGAGAGAGGCAGAGACATAGGCAGAGGGAGGAGCAGGATCCCTGTGAGGATTCTGATGCGGGACTCAATCCCAGGACCCTGGGATCATGACCTCAGCCAAAGGCAGATGCTCAAAACATTGAGCCACCCAGGGGGCTCAAGAATACTTTGAGCCACTGAGGTTCCCTCAAGAATACTTTTTGAAGTAATTATAATAAACACATAACACTTAGAATATGCTATGCGTTGTTCTAGATAAGAGAAATATTATTCTCATTTGGAGATGCAGAAACTGAGGCACAGAAAGTTGAAGTAACTTGTTTATGTTCACAAACCTAGTAAGTGTCAGTCTGGATTTGAACGAAAGCAGTCTGTTTCTATGCTCTGAACCAATACTTTATACAGAAAATCAAAAACAAAAAGCAAACAAAGGTGAATGGATGTAATACATTTTTTAAAAATTTCACGTTTGAAAGTTAATAGTTTTATATAAAGTGTCTATATTTTGTCAAATGAATTCCCATGAAAAAAAAAACAATAATAATACAATTTGCAAATATCCATTAGTAATTGATTGAATCCTATTTGATTTATTATTAATTATAAAGAGTAGCAATGTTCATCACTAGAAATTATGCCCTACACAAAATATTTGTAGCCCTTTATCCTAGAAGACATCTTAATGCTATGATGTCTTCATTCTCTGAGTTTTCATTGCACAATTCCAATCAAGCTTTACATATTTTCAGACTAAAACATTTTATTTTATTTCCAACTCCGCACTTTTATTTTTTCTTTTTAATCAACTGTATGTCCTTCCTCTTTCAATTTGGTACCTGTGCGTGACTGGCTGCTAGAGAAAGCTTAGCAATCTGTCCTTTTGGGTGAGATTGCTTTTAGCATGTGAAGGGCAGAGAAACTGAACGGGAAAGTATACATGGGAAATACAAATAAGTGGAACAGTCTAAGAAATGAAGAATCTATCATTATTACGCTGGGCATATGTGATTAAATGTCTTCAAAACAATGAGGCTCATCAATCAGCATCCTCATGCATTGGAAAATCAGAACATCCTGGGAGAGAGCTGAGATAGTCATTGTGACAAGGCCATCTTCTAATAGTTACACATCACAGTGGAGTGCAAGTGTAAGGAAAGCCCTTCCCTGATTTGCAAACTTCACTCCACATAGTTAAGCCTGCATAGAAGAATGTGACTAGATAACATAGAGGTGTGCCCTCCCTATAGTGGGCATCACCAATATTAATTTCACTCTAGAAGAAAATTTCATATCTCTGAGTAAATTAATAAGTACTCAATATAATATGATTGCACCTTTGAAATACAGTATGAATGCCTTTCAATGATTCTACACTTAAAGATCAACAAAAGTTTCATCTTTATATGAAGGAAAGAAAACTTCTGGGATTTACAAATTTATGTATATTGCCTGGTCTCTAAAGTGTACTAACACCACAGCATAACAGAAAAGAGTGCTTTTTCCATTATATTTGTTAGGTTAGTACCAACATAAAGAGCCAATAAAGAGTCAATAAGCTCTCTTAGAAGGCATAATTAAAATGCTTTTTTAAAATATCTTCCTCCAACAACTATCCCTGTGATATTAACTAGTGTGTTGCTCATTTCCTAGTGGATGTGTATTGTGTACATGCTCAGGATCGTAAAGAAGAAATGAGAAGTGTTATAACCTGCTATCAACATTAACTCTGTGAATGTCTGACAGCTTTAATAGTTCTGAATATGAAAAGTAAATAAAAGAGCTGAGGCAGTTATCCAGATATATTTCAACCAAAAGAATGGCTTTACTTGCACTAGATAGCTATTTAAGACAAAATAGTATTGTTTGCGTGTGAACTCTAAATAATCCCATAATTTTTCCCCTGCATGAGTAGATACAGCCTTTAGAGTTATCTGCTTTATAACTTCAGAGTCAGAGCTTCTTAGTCCTGAACTCATTTCTTGAGGGGGCTTTTGAAGAAGATTTACAAAGCCATGTCTATTTTCAAAACTGTAAGCTGGAATTGCTTTGCCTGTGCAGATATGATGACCCAAATCTCTTTCCGCAAAATGTCCTTTTAAAATATGCAATCATTTGCAACCATTTATCAAATGGTCTAAATACTAATTTTCCTTCTATTACTTTAAACAGATTTACATGTTTTAAATCGGGAGGGGAAAAAGCATTAAAGAAAAGCCAATAAGACGTCACTGCTTCAATATTCTAATAAACCATGCTGAGCCTCCTTGGTTAAACATTAAAAAGCTTCCTTGTGTAAATGAGCTGCATTTATGATAATTAAAGACTACCTTTGCACGGGATATTTTAAATGTCAATAACATGCGCGCATGCATAGAGGATACCATGAAATGTTTTCACTAAGATACTATGAAATAACAACAGTGCAAAGTCATAAAGCATTTGGCTTATAGCACAAATGCAGAAATAGGAGCAGACAGTAGGTATTGCCTTAATACAGGCTCTTACACACTATTTTGTGTTATTTTTGTCATTATTATAAGAAAGTCACTTCTCTGCACATAGTTTTCTCGATACTAGTGTCAGACATTAGAATGCTGATACTCAAAAAATAAAAGTCATATTCTGAAGGTGAAGATGGGTAAAGAAGTGAGAAATATCAGAACATGGAGTAGTGCATGAACACTAATCACATTTTAAGAATTTGTTAAGAAGCTGACACTGAGCAGAAGTGCAACTGTGACTGGACTGAGATGGAAAGAAATACAAACCTTATTATGATTGTTTTAATGTATGTTGGACCAAATTGTAATATTTTTAGGGAAAAATCCTGCAATGGAAGGTAAATTAAGCAATATGACCCTGTATTAATTTTCTTTGAGGCTATAAAATTCCTCTCTTATCACCAGATGTTTTCCAAAGGAAAGTAATATGTACAAAAAATGTCTGTCACCTTGACTCTGTGACATTTTAAAAACACTACCCACTATTATTATTATTGGAGTGTCATTGACATCATCATCACCATCATCATCATCATCATCATCACAATCACTATGCTTTCTACTTGGACTATGCTGAGCGACAAGATGCATAGTCACACTTAGAATAATTATCATGGCTTCTTTTACTGAGTTGAAAAAGTCAATCTTTTCCTCTGCCCTTGATTCTAACAGTATTTGCCAAAGTAAACAAGCTCATTGATTTTGGATTTGGCTATATAATGTACCCACATTTTTCCCATAATCAGTCTGGATATTCTATTTCTCCTACTTATGAAACATTTAAAATCCTCTCTCCTATTTATATGTAGCTGCCTGAGAACACAAAGCTCCTTCTTACCTGTGTGGTAAAACTTCCCTGAAAATCCAAGGTTGAAGGTAAAATTTGCAACCTGAGTGCGCAGTAAATTTTGAGTCTCTAGTAATGCCTGAAATAAATAAGAAATTAACATGATTTTAGAAAAATAAATATGAAGCTTTGGGATGCCTCTTTTTCAAATGTGTATGCATGAGTGAAACAAAATAATATGGGCTTTCTTGTTTTTGGGGTTTTTGATGGGTACTGTTATATGCTATTCATATTTCAGGTATTATAATAGCTTTTGTTATTTTTATTAAAGTTCACCAAATTATGAAGCAGTTAAGTCCTAAGCACATTATAAGCTGCTGAGAGGCAATTCTCTAACCACACAGCACTGAAATCATTTTTCATTTCCATGTGAGACATTTCTTGATTTCAGATTATTACACTTCTTTTCCTTGGGGGATATTTTTCAGAGTTGTTGGATGTAGACAAGTCTTGCATTTGTTGGTAAGAAATAGGAAGGTAACATTTGCTTGAGTTGCAATTTAGTATTTATTTAACTGTGTTACCTCCCCTATTGTTTTTTTAAGGTGTCATTGAGTTTAAAGATCGGGTTTTTTACTATACAAACTAAAGAAAGATGTATAATTTAAAGGGTGTTGATTGCAAATCTTGAGATATGAACAAGGCAAGGACAGATAGGAAATAGCCAATTCCATAAAGAAACATTTTCCAGGGATCCCTGGGTGGCGCAGCGGCTTGGCGCCTGTCTTTGGCCCAGGGCACGATCCTGGAGACCCGGGATCGAATCCCACGTCGGGCTCCCGGTGCATGGAGTCTGCTTCTCCCTCTGCCTATGTCTCTGCCTCTCTCTCTGTGTGTGTGACTATCATAAATAAATAAAAATTTAAAAAAATAATAATAATAAAAGAAACATTTTCCAACTGTGGCAAAATGTCCCTATTTTCTGTATTTGGAATTTTTCTATGTTAATTTCTTATTTGTAGAAAGGATAAGAACACACAGATAGTAATCTTAGAGTCGGACTTAGACCTGTAAATTTGCTGCCAATCCTTCAACTGCTATGCCAACATATGTAGTATAATTCAGAACTCTCCTATCCTAGTGCTGTTTAGTTTGCTTATTGATTCAGAATGCTTTTCGAGTTTTTAAACAGATTTTTAAAAGGGACTTACTTTGTTCTGATGAAAATGAGAAACTCATATCAAACTAGAGGTATTGGGGACGCCTGGGTGGCTCAGTGGTTGAGCATCTGCCTTTGGCTCAGGGAGTGATCCCACGGTCTTGGGATCAAGTCCCACATCAGGCTCCCTGCATGGAGCCTGCTTCTCCCTCTGCCTGCATCTCTGCCTCTCTCTGTGTATCTCTTATGAATAAATAAAATGTTTTTTTTTTTTTAAAAAACCAGAGGTATTAATAAGACCAATTTTTGGTCATTGCTATCCATATATTAAGGTAAATAGAAATATAGACAATTCTTTTGAGCGTTAGTCACAGTGGCTAAGCATTTGCTTTAAAAAATTGTAAAACTACTTAGTCCCCTGGAATTAAGAAGGCTCTCCTGCAAATTAGTTTGGTTAAATAAAAAAAGAAAATAACCAAAAGATTGGTAACTATATTATCAGTGATTATCCATGGGTACAGTTACATCGAGTGAATCTTGGCCAATCTTGTTTAAATATTATGAACTAAATGGAAAAAAGAAAAAAATAGACCTATTAGTTTGATTCAGTTGTATAAAATGTATTTTTAACAGTTCTTCAAAAGAACAAACGAAATATTAAAAAGAGGCTGGAGTCAAAAATAAAGTCTGTTGAACTAGTTGATCATATTGGTAAATCCTGTGGAATACAGACTTAAATTGAAAACATCATGCATCTTTTTATCTTGGTAAGTTCCTTTTTCTGGCTTTCTCACTTTATTCAATGCACAATCCTTGGGCCTCCATGTCTTGAAATAATTTTTTAAAAAAGTTTCTCCCTTCCCCTGTATTCCTTATCACTCCAACTCCCTTCCAACTCTCTACTTCTGAGTTCTTGAAGCCATTATTATGCATTTCTCCACTATCCATTCTTAAATTCACTTAATACATATTGTAATTGCATACAGTGTTGGGTGTAACAAGCATAGTCCCTTTAACCTAGGACCTCAGTGCCTAGAAAGGGAGAGAGATTTTAAACAGAAAGTCAGACAAATGTGTAATTACAACTCATGATAAATTCTAAAAAAGAAATCTAGAGCATTCTGTGATAGATGTAGTAAAGGATTTTAATTTATCTTACGAGAAAGTGGGCCCACATGTTTTCTTAGGGACAATAAAATAAGCATCAAACAAACTGCTTTTCCCTCAATCAACTTGCTTCCACTTTAGGAACACCCACATTGTCTTTTTCTTGGGCTTTGAAAACACTGTGGTCTCTAACCTGTTCCCATCCTTCAGTGTTATCTTCCTTCACTTTGCCTTACATTCTGTAATCATGCTAACATCCCAAAGGCAGTAAATGCACTTCATCCTTGGGGTCAGGGAGGCCATTTAATTAATGGCTTAGCTTTGTTCGTCATTTCACTTTTCTACTTCTGTCCTTTATCTGTAAATGGAATAATGCTTAACATCTGTTTCACACTATTATTGTGAGGGTTACATTGTATAAGGCACACAAAGTGCTTAGCTAAGTGCGTGGCACATAGTAGGAACTCAATAAAGGCTGTAAATGAGCACTCAATATGTCATTCTCTTCCAGCCAACTAGGGATTATTTACTGATGACTCCTCATTTCCAATTGAGCTACATGCATTGCTAATTCCCCCAAATCACCTTGTCTTCTGGGTCTATTCCCAATACCTACATTTCTCCATGCCTTTTCTCATTATGTTCCCCTTGCCTAGTTAGTCTCTAGCTGCTCCCCATCCCATTCCTCAAACCCACCCATTCTTTAAAGCTCTGCCCGAATGCCACCTTTTTGTATGAAGCCTGTCCTGATGTCTCAAAGCTTTTCCTTTTCTCCTCTCCCAAAGTAAGTTCCCAAATTATTTTTCTTAAGACTTGCATTGATTTCCACTTTACTACATCAGTTTATATCTTACTTCTCCTAGTCTATAAGTGCCTTCAGGTCAATCAATGCTTACTTATTTTTAAGTATTCTGTATTGCTAGATATATATTTATATATATGGAAGGCATTCAATTGAATTAATTTCATTTATTTTTATTAGTAACATATTCCTGATGGTAAAATGATAAACACAGTTCATGGACCACACCATTAAATGATATCAGAACAATATGAATAGGATACTACATTTCACCAGCACACTTATATCATGGATATTTTATAATTTTATATTATAGATTGCCTAGTAAGACAAGCTCACAGAAGCGAGGCCAGAAAGATTTTTTTCTGCTGCTAATTAACTCTATGAAGAATTTGACAGTCCTTTCCATTGTTGAAAGAAATAGAGTTGTCTAGTCATATTCTCCCAATATGTAATCTTGATTAATGTGGGAGTAAAAATGATAATTTCTGTAAGTAAAAACAAAACAGGGCAGCCCGGGTGGCTCAGCGATTTAGTGCCATCTTTGGCCCAGGGCGTGATCCTGGAGACCTGGGATCGAGTCCCACCTCAGGCTCCCTGCAGGGAGCCTGTGCTCCCTCTGCCTATGTCTCTGCGCCTCTCTCTCTCTCTGTGTCTCTCATGAATAAATAAATAAAATCTTTTTAAAAAAAGTAAAAACAAAACAAAACAAATGGTTAAAAAAGCAAATCCTAAAAGGTTCAAAGCCTGCCTACTTCAGTATAAAAAAATGTTCTTTTATTTCCAAAATTCAGGGAAAGAAAATTTACATGGTCTTTTACTGGTAAAGGAAGAAAGACACAAATTATTTTAGAAAAGCTTGTTTATAAAGTAAAAGTAATATGTCTTAATTAGAGATAAAAATCAAATTGCAAGGCTTAGGAAATAGCATGTAGCTGTAGATATTGTGAATTCTATGAGTTACTGGTTTAGTCTTAATGTGATAGGGTTCAGGCTTGTGTACTTTATCATAGACCCCAGTTGGCTCTAAAAATGGCATAAGCAATTGTTTCCAAGTTGCCCATATCAAATGAATCACCAGAATACTTCTAAAATAACTTTCCCAGGCCCATGCTCTGGGAATTTTGAATTAGAGAATAGAATAATAGAACCCAGGAAACTGAAGTTTTAATGATTCGTATAACTTCAAATTGGAGATTATAACCATCAAGGAACATTGGGAAATACTGTTTTAGTGCATTGTTTATACTAATTTCAAAGTATTTTGCATAAGTCTTAATCTACTCCGATATTTAGGTTAATATAAGACCAATGCAGGGCACCCGGGTGGCTCAGTAGGTTAAGCATCTGCCTTCGGCTCAGGTCATGATCTCTGGGTCCTGAGATTGAGCCCCATGTAGGGCTTGTTGCTCAGTAAGCAGAGTCTGCTTCTCTCTTTCTCTCTCCACCCCTCCCCACTGCCCATGCCCTCTCTCTCTCTCTCTCTCTCTCTCATCCTCTCTCTCTCTCAAATAAGTAAATAAAATTTTGTAACAAAAAAAGGCTAACCCTTACTCTAAATATATATAGTTACTAAGACATGACTATTTATGTATATTGATATAGCCTTATGCTTTCAAAATTTCAAATCTAAACAAATTAAATACAGATGTAAGCTTTTGTTCCTTTAACTGTCTTATATAGTTTTTTTTAAATATATGCAGTAATTCATAAAAATGGTATGTTATTTATCTTACAAGATCTTGGTGTAAGGCTTGCATTGATTTCCAGTGGGAATCTGAACAGGTTACTTCTTTTTTTTTTTTTAATTTTTTTTAAATTTTTATTTATTTATGATAGAGAGAGAGAGGAGAGAGAGAGAGAGAGAGAGAGAGAGAGAGAGAGGCAGAGACACAGGCAGAGGGAGAAGCAGGCTCATGCACCGGGAGCCCGACGTGGGACTCGATCCTGGGTCTCCAGGATCACGCCCTGGGCCAAAGGCAGGCGCCAAACCGCTGCGCCACCCAGGGATCCCCTGAACAGGTTACTTCTATATTTATTACCTGGATGGATAAAATTGCTTCATGAGAAG